GATTATACCTCCGTCTCCGATTGATTGGACTACACCGCTGATTTATGCCACTAAAAATCAGACTGTTCCTATTGTTCCAGAAAACCCAGATAATTACAGCCCTGTTTAAACACAGATATTGTTTTTTCAGCCTTGAGAGCATCGCATCATCAAGACAAGATATGAGAGTGGATTTTATGGTGCTGCTTTCTCTAGTCAAGAAATGGCAGCCCATTTGGGATCCAAACCAGATTGCTCCAGGCTCCCAGCTAAATCAGAATGGAGAAGAGCATGTTCCAAACAGGGTACGTATCTGACTGACTGATACGTGGAGGTTTGAAAATACCGAAATGCTGTTGTGGCAAACCCTCCATAAGAAAAGTTTAATTCGTGGGATAGTGCCTATACTCCAAATGAAACGCCAAAGTATTCTATCATTGGTAATGCCCGCTTCTAACTAGAGCCAATCCTTCCTTGTTTGCATAAAGAAAGGTTTGGGTGACATTGAGGTAGAAAGCAGGAGGAAGTTGTAATAGAGTGCGAGAGCAGATGCTGCTGCGGTTGTTCCATCAAAATCGCTCAAACCGTCTTCGGGCATCAGCAACCCAGCTATGTTGCCATGGTTCGCATGCAAGTCGACGGCTGTTATCCCCCAACCTAATGATGCAACTATAGAGGTTGTTTTCCCCCCAGCTCAATTATAGCGGCCGTTATTTTCACTTACCGCTGCAACTTCCGGTGATTGTGAACAATCAAACAAAGAGAAAAAACTAGAACAGTATATTATGGTGGCAATAGGGTAAAATTGGGTCAAACTGAAATCCATTTTTTCGAATTCAAACAAAATTACTATTGATCTTCTTTGAATTCACGATCCCGAGTGCCGGCGGCAGCAACCCCTTCCGCCTCTAGTCTCTCTCTCTCCTTCTTCTTCTTCTTCTTCTCCTCCTCCTCCTCCTCCTTTCTCTTCTTCGTCTCTGTCTTCCCTCTTGTCTCTCTCTGCGTCTAGTGCGTCATCCTTTCCCGCCGATAATTGTGAATCAGGGATCGAGATGTGTGAGCGAAACAAAAACTTTTCGCATTCACCACCACACCAGCCCTCTTCTCCCTCCAATTCATGAAACCCTTCAGATATCAGTCTGTTGGCGATGACCTATTGGATGGAAAGACGGGTGAGTCCGTATCTCCGGTGATAGTATCAGTCCGTACCAGGAAGTCCAAATGGCGTAATTGATGCCTCTACTTAAAGAGAGCAGAGCCCAGGAGTAGCAGATGGAGATGGAGCACACCACGTGTTCCAATAAAATAATTAGGGTATTTTAAGAATTTTAGAGTGTGACGGAAAACTAACGATAAAAGAGGTATTAAACAATTATCAAAAAATTTAAGGGTACTGTAAAAAATATCTGAACAGTAAAAATACAGTGTATCAATTTCATAAATAATAGAGATTTACTCTAAAATATAGGATAAATTACAAAGGTCCCCCTATACTTTATTTTGCGACCAAGACCCTATACTATGACTGTGAAACGAAGACTTCTTTTTGTTAGTTTTCGTTGAAATCCTCTATTACAATATTTTTAATCCCAATACTATCCTTGTAATAACTATTTAGAGAAAAACAATATTCATCTTCCCACACCTCACAATACACGAACAGCAACGGCGGTAACTATTACAGCAGTGGTGGACTTCCGAATTCCTCCCTCTCTCTCTCTCCCCCGATCTCTCTTCCCCTTCCCCTTTTTCCTTTTTCTCCTCCCCTTTTTTCTTTTTCGAGAAAAACACAACAAATATTGAGCACGAAGCTCAATCCCAACACCATCGTAGTTGATCCAGTGATTGTCGCCAACGATGCTGTGGACGTCATAATAACGAAATAAAAAAGGCGGTTTCTTTCTATACCACCAGCAACCAACCTTCTCCTTAAATTCATTTGTTGGTCAATCATCTCTGCATTTGCCATTTGCTCCTTCTCCCTCTTTCCTCCCTCTCCCTCTCTCTCTCTCTCTCTCTCTCCCTCTTTCTTATAAAAACTCCGAAATTCAGCTTCTCAATTAAGTGAGCCATAAGGACAGAATTCCAGACTTGATAATGGAAGTGGTGATACCGACACCACCCAACGGCATGAATTTCAACTTCGACAGCGCCTGCTCTTCCCCCTACATCAGCACTCCTTCCAGCCCCAAACGTTTTGGTGAGTCAACGGCACTATCGTGGCTTCAATGACTTCTCCATCATCAACGGCACTAGCGGCAGGGGTGGCTCTTCTTCGGTCATCCCATTTGACTGGGAACAGAAGCCTAGAAAGTCAAAATGCAGCGACACCCAGAACGACGATGATGAACTCTTCAACGGAGGCGTCATTAAACCTTTAAAACTTCCTCCTCGGTTACAGCAGGTTCCAAACGGAGTTGACGAGTTTGCTACTCGGAAGATAGTTGTTTCGTTGCCGAGGTCCCTAAGATCACCAATCTTGAAGGGGAAAAGGATATCCGTGAAGCGTTGTCCCCGCAACACAAGAAAGACTTCAACCCATTCACAGCTGCAATAGAGCAAGCGTGTAAAGGATCAGAACGCGATTGAGGGAGAGAAAGGTTCTCTGGTTCAAATTCCAGCCGTAGGGGTACCCGATCGCTGTCGCCTTTTAGAGTTTCTGCGTTTGCATGGGAAGAAAAAGAGCAACAGCAAAGCACCGAACCCGCTTCGTCAAATTCAAAATCCTCTTCTACATTGTCGTCATCTTTGAAAGGGAGCAAGAAATGGAGGCTAAAAAATTCTGTTGTTTCAAAGCGCTTCAGAAGGTCGAGCGACGGACAAGGATCCTTTCAGAAAATTCGTGGTTTTACCCAAGAAACAAGACGACGTAAAAGAACTCGAGCTTCCGGTCAACCGACAACTCCGGTTCAAGGAGAAGAGGGCCGGTTTCAATTCACGAGTTACATTACACGGTGAACTAGCGATATCTGAGGAGTTGAAGAAGAAGACCTTCTTGCCGTACAAACAGGGTCTTTTGGGTTGCTTGGGCTTTAACCCGACCGTCCATGGGCTTTGGTTCCCTTACACGTTGGTGGATTGATCATGAATCAATCACAAACCCTTTGGTTCTTTCATTTCTATGCATGCATGATTAAGTAAAATCTGCAGGGGATTAACTCTTCTAGTAAATCGCCACCACCATGAATCCTCTCAGTAGCCCTGCAGAAATTAAGAAACAGATAAGTGATTGCAATGTACTTCTTGCTTTTGCCACATCTGGTGGAGTCGGGGAAATTGAGAATATGGGTGTTCGTGTTGTTGAAGTACCGGAGAGTGCAGCCTCTGATTCAAGTTGGTCTGAGTTTTCCTATTTCAATAAGTTTCTTTTGAATAATTCCAATTCCTCACCTAGAAGTGCAAGGAACGGAAAATAGAAGAAATCGGGAAGAAGAAAGGGGAGGAGAGAAAAGGGGAAGGGGAAGTTGAGAGATTAGGGGAGAGAGAGAGGGAGGACTTCGGAAGTCCGCTGCTGCTGCAACAGTTACCGCCATTGCTGTTCGTGTATGTAAGGTTGGGAAGATGAACAATGTTTTTCTCCGAAAGGGGTCTTTGTCCCACGGTCATAGTACAGGGGATCTTTGTCACAAAATAAAGTACAGGAAAATCTTTGTCTCACGGTCAAAGTAAAAGAACTCTTTATCACAAAACAAAGTACAGGGGAAGTTGACCCTATAGTACAGGGGTCTTTGTAATTTACCCAAATATATAAATAGAAAAATATTTACAATGCAAAGACTGTTCGATTAGGCTTTACACGGACTGAAGCCAAATTTCCGGGCTCCGGCATGGCGGCATCCCATTTGTAATGTTACCCAAGTGAACCTCCTTAATTCGATCATCCTCAGCTTCAGTAATGGTTTAACCAGGAATGAAGTAAAAGGTTAAGAAGCGGTTTTTCAATTTTTACAAATTTTGATTTGACAAAAAGCTATTAAGATCGTAGAAGGTCTGTAGTGGTTTGGAGTTTTTGATGGGTTTGGCCAATTGGTCATCCCTGTCCGGAATTAGCAAATAGAAATGAGATTTTAATCGTACTGTTTACAGATTTTACTATAAGCCATTTTTTTTATCTTACATAAAGATGGAATGTCTTAAACTCTGGTCCACCATTTCTATTCCTATTCCTTGATCATCAGCATGAATTCCATGAATTTGGTAGTTTCCATTAGTTACAATTTACTCTGAAGTCTTCAATCTCCGAGCTCTATTTGTTCAATGCTGGCGTGAAATATAAACAATCGCCTGAACCTCGAAAAAAGACAAAAAAGAAAAAAAGAAACAGAAATTCTATCATGACCGAAACAACCATAACATTCACTTTTTACAAATCTATATCTATATATAAACTCCCAATGCCTACAATTTATTCCAAACAATATTGTAAATAAATCTACGTATACTACCAAAATTTGATAGCAAAGCAAGACTGATCCACAAGCAAAGCCGTAAAACCAATGCAGTGTCCTTAATACGATCTGATTAACGAACCAAATCTTCAAAATCACAGCAAATGTAAGCCTAGCACCCTACAACTAAAAAGGGGTAATCAAAGTTCTGTTGTAGCTGTAGAAACAGAGCAAGAAAGAAGGTATATTATTTCAAAAGCAGTCTATTGTTTATGGAGGGTAAGATATAAATTTTTTTAATATTAAAATAAGTGTTAGGATTAGGAGTCCGTTCACGTATATATCCTCTTTGTATATATCTTCTTTCCTTATCATGAATAGTTGAGATAGGATAGGAAAGATTGAGTGCTTGTAAACTTAGGAGTTCTAGTTGCCATAAGCTTAGGAGTTCGATGGTTGTATTCATGTATATATATTTGAATTCTCAATGAATAATTGACAGAAAAGGATAAAACAGAAAAGCTCTGGTTTTACATGGTATCAGAGCCAACTGAAAGCCACAGAGAGAGAGAGAGAGAGAGAGAGAGGAAGAAGAAGAGGAAGAAGAAGAAGACGAAGAAGAAGAAGAGAGAGATGGCCATTGACAACGAAAGCGGTAAGGGATACCCGGCGAGTTGGAGCTTGTCTGCAAAGCCCAGTGATTTCTACAAATCGGCGTCGAACCTACTGTTCTGCCGGGCAGACTCGACATTCCTTTGCTTCAACTACGACGCCAAGGTTCATGGCACGAACAAGCTCGCCTCCCGGCACGAGCGAGTCTGGATGTGCGAGGTCTGTGAGCAAGCCCCGGTTAGTGTCACCTGTAAGACTGGCGTTGCTGCCCTCTACGTCACTTGCGACCGAGACATCCACTCAGCAAACCCACCCACCTGGCAGCACGAGCGAATTCCTGTCGTTCCGTTCTACGAATCGGCTGCCTCCGCCATGAAATCTAATGTAGCCAACCTCCTTGTTCCTGATGGCCTCCTCAAGTCCTCGGACGACGATGACGATCGTAACGACAAAGAGGAAGACAATGACACCTACCGCAAGGAGGCCGAAGCTGCTTCTTGGTTACTTCCAAACCCAAACCTTGCCAAACTCATGGAAACACCCGATTTGAAGTCAGGCGACTATTTCTTCTCCGACGTGGATCCTTATCTCGATCTCGACTACGGGTCATCCATGGAGACGAGGTATCACCACCAGAACAGCACCAATGCTGATAGTGTAGTTCCTGTGCATACGAAACCCCCTCCGCCACCACTGATGAACACCTCCAATCACTGCTTCGATATGGGTTTCTGCCGATCCAAGCTTTCTTACGGCTACACCACTCCAACAATTAGCTAGAGCATCTCTTCGTCATCGTTGGACCTTGGAGTAGTGCCCGACGGGAACAACAACGCGATCTCGGATATAACGAATCCATTCGAACGAAAAGGCGGAGTGGATGCGAGTGGGGGGAATCACGGAGCAGGGGTAGGAGGAAAAGGTCGTGGCGGCCAAGTCAGGGCCAATATAGCCAAAGTCTCTACGCAAGGCAATGCATCTCAAGGAGAATCAATCGATGCAGTCAAGACTGGGTTAAATGGACTAAGTAGTGAGTAGTGGAACATGTTACTCAACCTTTTGAACACATAGAAAGAGGGGACTCAACAATTAAGTGGTAAGCGAAAATTGTCAGAATGGATAATAGACACAGGGGCTTCTCATCATATGACAGGAAGCCTCGAATCGATGAGAGACATAAAGAACGTCATTCCATGCTCTGCCGGGCTGCTAGATGGGAAAGCGACAATAGCAGAAAAAGAAGGCACAGTTGCGCTGGACGATCGTCTGAAACTGACTAATATTTTATATGTGCCTAGTTTGAATTGCAATTTAATTTCTGTGTCACAATTGATTGAGGAGTCGAATTGTGTTGTTCAGTTCACTAATAAATTCTGTGTGATACAGGACCGAACTACGAGGATACTGATTGGAATGGGTGAGCAGCGAGAGGGACTCTATTATTTCTGGAGCATTGCATCAATAAGAGCAATGAAGACTACAGAGAGCAAGGCATGTGATATTTGGCATCAAAGGTTAGGGCATCATTCTCATAAAATTGTTAAGTTGTTGCCTTTTGTTAGTACTAAAAATAATAAGGATGACAGTATTAAGGGTTTGTGATGTATGCTTCTGACCTAAACAATGTTGAGAAGAGTTTGTTTCTAGTAATAATAAAGCATCTGATATTTTTGAGTTAATTCATTATGATTTATGGGGTCCTTATAGAACTACAACTTCTTGTGGTGCTCATTATTTCTTGACAATAGTAGATGATTTTTCTAGAGGTGTTTGGATTTATCTTTTGATTGATAAGACGGAAGTGGGACAAGTTCTTCGAAATTTTTTGCTATGGTTTAATGGCAATTTAACAAACCTGTCAAAGTGATTCGTACTGACAATGGGTCTGAGTTTGTCTGCTTGGCTAGTTATTTTGCTCAGCATGGTATTATTCATCAAACCACTTGTGTCGGGACCTCTCAACAAAACGGGAGGGTTGAACACAAACACCGCCACATACTCAATGTTGCCCGAGCATTGCGTTTTCAAGTTAGCATGCCTATTGATTTTTGGGGGGAATGTGTATTGACCGCATGTTATTTGATCAATCGGACACCGTCCATTCTGTTGAAGGGAAAGACTCCCTATGAAGTTTTATTTGGGCGACCTCCTTCTTATGATAATGTGCGAATTTTTGGTTGCTTGGCATATGCGCACAATCATGAACATGGAGGGGATAAATTTGTCAGTTGAAGCAGACGGTGTGTTTTTGTTGGGTATCCTTTTGGAAAGAAAGGATGGAGCTTGTATGATTTAGAGTGCAGCACATTCTTTGCATCAAGAGATGTTACTTTTTTAGAGGATGAATTCCCTTATGCACGCAATGAGGATGAACAACCAAACAAAGCACAAGGCCAATTTCATTGTGGAATAGGTGGGACAAATGAGGTGTTGGTGCAGTCCACTTATTTACCAGGACAAACAAATGGCGAGATGGAGATTGACCAGCGAGGCGAACTCGCTGAAGAAGGAGTTTGCGTAGAAGAAGGAACCCGCGTAGACCCGAATGCAAATGCTGGTGAACCCATGCATTCTTGTGACGCCACCACAGAAAATGTAAGCGAAGATAGCCCTGACGTAAAGGGGGGTGGCGATGTTGAGCAACAGCAACACTCTGAATTTCATTGGGAGCGTGGGCATCGGCAGAAACAGTAGTCCACAAGGTTGAGAGATTATGTGCTTCACACCACACAGTGATTGAGTCCCTCTCCGCGTCCCTTTGCAAGTTTATTCGGCCAATCACATTTCGCAGGTAGTCCTTATCCCATAGATAACTATGTGAATTGTAACAATTTTTCTTGTCGACATCGTGCTTTCTTGGCAGCTATTACTGCAATAGTTGAACCTACTTCTTTTACTAAGGCCATAAAGGATGGAAAATGGAGGGATGCAATGCAGAAAGAAATACAGGCACTTGAAAATAATCAGACATGGACCGTGGAGCCTTTGCCATCCGGAAAACGAGCCATAGGATCGAATCAAGTATAACGCTGATGGGACAGTGGAAAGATACAAAGACCGTCTCGTGATTTTTGGGAACAAGCAGGTTGAGGGAATTGATTATAATGAAACTTTTGCCCCAGTTGCAAAAATTGTTATTGTCCGTACCTTTCTTACAGTCGTAGTAGCTAGAAGTTGAGAGCTTCATCAAATGGACGTACATAACGCATTCTTGCATGGTGACCTTCATGAGGAAGTCTACATGCGAATGCCTTTTGGTTTTCAGTCAGATAAACTAGGTATGGTGTGTCGGTTGCGAAAATCTCTATATGGCTTGAAACAAGCGCCGAGACAGGGTGCATGTGCTTGTTCTCGTGTATGTGGATGACATTATCGTGTCAGATAATGATCATATGGCAATTCAAGTCTTCAAGAAATATTTAAGTGACTGCTACCATATGAAAGACTTGGGACTATTGAAATAATTTTTGGGCATTGAAGTTGCCCGAAACTCAACAGGAATTTTTCTGTCTCAACGAAAGTATGCTTTGGATATTATCTCTGAAGTTGGATTACTTGGTGCAAAACCTGCTCCTTTTCCTCTGGAGCAGAATCACAATCTCGCCTTGACAGATGGGCCTCTCTTATCTGATCCTGAGCGATACAGGCGCTTGGTGGGCAAGCTTATTTATCTCTCAGCAACTCATCCAGAGTTGTCTTATTGCATGCATGTTCTATCCCAATTTATGCAGAAACCGCAAGAAAAACATTGGGAGGCTGCATTGCGAGTGGTGCGCTACTTGAAAGGAAATCCTGGTCAAGGAATTCTCTTGTGCTCAGATTGTGACTTGCAATTATATGCATGGTGTGATTCAAACTGGGCGTGTTGTCATTTGTCCTGACGTTCTCTGTATGGATGGTTTATTCTACTTAGGAAATCGCCGATTTCTTGAAAAACTAAGAAACAACACATTGTGGCTCGTTCTTCAGCGGAAGCAGAGTATCGTTCTATGGCCACGACCACGTGTGAATTAAAATGGCTGAAGGGATTGTTATTGGCTCTTGGAGTTACGCATTCAAACCCAATGCGATTATATTGTGATAGTTAGGTAGCGTTGCATATTGCGGCAAACCCAGTGTTTCATGAACGTACGAAACATATTGAAGTTGATTGCCATTTTGTACGTGATGAGATTCAAAATGGTTACATTCGTCCTGCTTATGTGTCGACTACCATTCAGCTGGCTGACATTTTTACAAAGGCACTAGGTCGTAGAGAATTTGAATACTTTCTCTGCAAGTTGGGCATTCACAATCTGCATGCTCCAACTTGAGGGGGGGGTGTTCACGTATATATCCTCTTTGTATATATCTTCTTTCCTAATCATGAATAGTTCAGATACGATAGGAAAGATTGAGTCCCTGTAAACTTAGGAATTCTAGTTGCCATAAGCTTAGGAGTTCAGTGGTTGTATTCATGTATATATATTTGAATTCTCAATGAATAATTGACAGAAAAGGATAAACCAAAAAAGCTTTGGTTTTACAATAAGTTTATAAAAAGGCATATAAGGTTTTATCAAATAAGGGTGTGTTTAAGTCTCCTAGTGCTTCTCGAAAAAAAAAGTCCCCCAAGGCCACTCCTCAAGTATGTTTAAGTCAATTTATGAATACTTAGGGTATGTTTTAAGTCTTTTGCCCTTTTACTTTATTATCACATAGGAGCTCAATAACTGCTATCAAGTCTTAGAATAATACAAAATGAAAGATGTCTAAAATCCAGGAATTGGGATATGTTCTTGCTTCTCATACCAACTTCACAATCACATCCTACTGTATTAAAAATATTTCCCATGAATGATAACATACAAGTAGAGGGGATGTTTTTGATGTATAGCTGATACATGATGTAGGTCAATATGAGGAATACTCTGTGATGAATAGATCCAGACTCAAAATCCATATGGTAATTTCATATACTGTCAGAGAACATCCTAATGTAAGTCTCATTTAACAATCCATTTAGTATGTGTTTGGTTTCGTTTATATTCAAAGTTTATATTTTATTTATTTACAAAATAAAAAAGAATAATAATTACAATTGTTTATGACAACTAGGCGCCACTAACCACCACATCATCATAACAGTGAAAAATGTGACTGTTTGAAGAAACTTTAAAAATTAACTCAACCAAATGCTAGGCGTGCACAGAAACTGCTGAAGTGATGCCTATATAACAGCACCCTCTTAATGATCTGGACTCAAAAGCCTGAAAGCCAAAGGCATCTCAAGTGCGAGTTCAGGCTTGAGTATCTGCGAATCAATTGGTTATTTAAGTAAAGAGTTAATTATTTGTATACCCTGTTATTTTAGGAAATAACTTAAATATACCATAAACAAACCTTCCGTTAATAAAACGTCTATGTCCGTTTATAACTGACACCATATACCTATTAGATTTTTCTATAATACCAATTTCGCCCATTCATTTCAAAATATTGTATGTGTTCTCAAGCTTTTTTTGAAAGCTAGCTTGTAAAAGCTGCTATGCATCTTTTCAATCCTAACGTTATTTGCAGCTTACAGAGGTGAAAGCGTTCATATGGTCCGTAAGACAAGTGTTTGAAGTTACAGTTCCACTCAACTGAGAACGTCATAAGTTGTGATTTTCTGTTCAACTTATATTGATTTTTGCTTTTTGGATTTTAATGTCATTTCGGGAAATTGAATTCGTATCGATATATTTGACCGGTTTTCATGGTTTTTTTTTTTGGATTTCTCTCTTCTAGCTTATGCTAAA